AATACGTCAATGGATGTACCACAGGGCTCGCTGCTTAACTGTGGCCAAACGGCCGTGATCACACAGTCGGGGCTCGGCCGGGGGAGCATAAGCACATGAAAGACTAAGTAGAGTCTGCGCAATGGCTACCGAACCTAACCGCAAACGAGCAAAAAGACAGTAAACAGCATATCCCCACGAACACTGTGAACATTACTCCATAGCACGACATCAACTACGGCTATGAAAACCCGCCATGGCATACCAGTACATGCACCTTCTATGACCGCGCATCCCAACAAACTGTGAGGCCGTTCAGCTGGATGGACCTGGCTTCGCCACTCACCACATGGGCTTGTGAGGAGTTCAACTGTTGTGTATCTTCCCATATTTAGGAGGACTATTCATTCTCATTTTCCACTACGGCCGGAGTGAGAGACAAAGGGAGGCCCAATGATAGGGAGTCCCCACACATACCAGAATTCTCATCATTGCAGGGCCCTCATCAGGTGTTTCATTTTCTTTTCAAAAAGCCTCGGATGTTGTTGCACTCCGCCGCGCCCCGCCGCACCCTGCCACACCAGTCCCGGAATGAAAAGCAAACCCGTGCTAGTGGGACTTGGCCCCCGGGGTATCTGACAGCATCAGCCAGCTTAGATTACAGGCAAGTGCCTGCGGGACACCCTCTATCCGGTCCCAAATCCTATAGTAAGGCTACTCCTGAATCAGCAACTTGCATCTGTAAGTAATGTATTCTGTCTGTGGAAGCACTGTGTGAACTTCTGCCCCTACCTCCGCTTTGTGGCGGTTTCTGGATCCAGCCTAAGTCTGGGACTAACACGGCCCAGAGGACAGAGGCAGACAGCGGCAAACAGTCTGTCGGGAGACATGGTGACCAGCCCTTCAGTCGTGCACATAGACTCACATTCTCATATAGCAAACTCAGAAAGGACTAGCTTGACACTCATGAAAGAAAGAAAGCTCTTCTTGAGTTCAGAATACGAGACCGCGATCACTCGCGCAACCACTTGGAGCAAGCCACCATAGCAAGTTCTCCCTCAACAATCGACAGAGCAAATCCCTCTACCGGTTTCATCCGCTTGCTCAGCGGAATCTTCAGGAAGGTGTGCTAATGCACTTTAGTCGAAAAGAGGCCGGGTGCCTTGCCTCTCGCTCATATATAGTCTGCTGACACTCCGTGTGTCTTCGTGCTTCTTCCTCGGACGTTCCTATACTTTTTTCGCGTCTCGTTTCCAGGCCCGCTATTCTGGACCGGTTCCCTGAATAAATAAATAAATAAACATAGAGGCCGTACCTATCTGCCAACGATATACCGACAAGTACCCTGGACAAAACACCGCCAAAACCCCCAAAAATCCCCTCGCCATGGGCACTTCGGACTGGACCACACCGAAGTATGCAAACTTAAATAAATAATAAACAAACATACAAACGTCGACGAGTATCAAGCCATCCACTCAGATAAGGGCCTACCTCTCCGTCGTCCCGGGCTCTTTCCAGAACTAAAGGCACACCACACAAATAAATAAATAAATAAATCTCCCAACGAGTTCATCCCGAGCCCGTTCGGCGGTTATCGCCTGCGTGCGGGCCGCGGTCTGTCAGTGCCTGCTCGTAACCGTCGTTCTTCCGGAGTCTCTACCGGTCCGCTGTCTTCACTTCCTTCCACACAACTTCTGCTGAAAACACGCGGCCAGGATTCTTGGTGCCTTATCTCCAGAGGACAGAGTCCAGGTCCTACACAGGCACCCCCTAGTGGCCTACCCCGGCCCTAATAACAGAGTGCCCTGATTGTTCCTGTGCCGAAAGCTACTGCTACCTATTTAACTAATTTATATTCCTACTGAGCTCTCTACTTCCGAGAGCCACTTGGACATCACCAGTCCTTTGCTTTCGCTGTCCATGTGTGCGTGAACCATAGGATCTGACTCCTGCCTCCTCTGCCTGCCTTGGCCCTCCTTCTCTAGTCCACACGAATGGCTTGCCTCAGTCCCTTCTTAATTGCTCCCTTGATTGCCTTGTCCGAAAAAGCTTTCTTTTGG